GTAAAAGTAGATAGTGTTTGGAAATAGAAGTGATTTTTATTAAAAGGTAAAAGTTGAAGTGTTTGATAAAAAAGTGATTAAGGTATGAATTTATTAAAATACATAAATGCCCCTTTCTAAAAATTAAATGTAAGCCCTTATTCTCTTGAAAGCTATTTCAATTCCACCCAGATCGTGTTCTTCTTGGCCTCCGGCAACCTGGTAGCTAAACACTCCAATCAAACACAAAAGTTGAAAAAATCATTCTCAGTTTCTGACTCGATGGCAAAAATCGCGTCAAGGCCTTCCTCTAATCCCCTCTTTCTTCCAGATTTTGCTTAGGGTTCTCTAATTGCCCTTCAAAAACACCGTATTTACCCCCGTAAGACTGTTCTCGTAGCCACACATCGGATTTATCCTTCTCTCCCAGAACAGCTATTTTTGTAGATTTTTGTTTTTGGATTCAAAATTTATATTTGAGTGGGCCTCCGTCAAAGTGGTAGCCTTCCATGGCTAGGAAAAGTTAAGTGTGTGTATATATATGTTGAGGATGAAGGGAGCAAGTGAACTGATGCGCAGCAGAAGAAAGAAGAAGACGCACGAGGGAGAGAAAGGGGCGAAGAGAAACGGTGAAGGGGATACGACGGGATACAGGAAGGTAGGGGAGAGAAAGGAGGATATTTTGGGTTGAAGTGGAAAAATCAGTCATTAGGATTACCCTTGGAGTTGGAGTTATTGGCAAAAATACCTGGAAGCACTTTGAAGCTAGTATATGCCAGCTTCTAACTTTTAACTTAAAAGTATTTTTTTAAATTAGAAGTTGGGTTTAACAAACACTCTTTTTAGCTTTTTTTAATCTAAAAGTTGAAAATCACTTATTTAAAGCAAATGCAAACACTGCTTTAGCTTGCTTTAGCAATGGAAAATCTCAATCCCAAAACCCAATTACTCAAATTTGTTAAGTTCCTCACTGTTTCCATTCTGTGACATACCACCCGCCATCTGGAGTAGGCGGTGCCACCCACCTGCCTAAATATAATTGTCTAGTTTCAATGGAGTTTGACTATATATTAAAATCCCTTATTCATATTCGAACATTTAAGTATTTTTAGTTCAGTAAACTCAGTTCAATATAAATAGTTTATTTTAAGTACTTTTAGTTCAGTAAACTCAGTTCAATATAAATAGTTTATTTTAAGTACTTTTAGTTCAGTAAACTCAGTTCAATATAAATAGTTTATTTTAAGTGAAAATGGTTATTTAAACAAAATAAAAGAACAATACGCAGAAAATTTTGTGGCATAATGCTTTTCAAACTTCCTGGCATTATTTTTTACTCATATAAAGGCAACATGGATTAGAATGTTAGAAACTACGCCCTATGTATGTTTAAATTTTGCCATGACTTGTACAAAGACATCAATCAGCTTTTGAAGACCTCAAGAGGCATTTGAACACAAAACAACATTTTAATTATTAGAAGACAACTTCTTAACTATCTAAAGAGTCCATCTTAATGCATCACTATTTCATTGTAAATAGTAATTTGGATTCACGGAATTTGCATGTTAAAGTGGGAACACATACATACTCACACACCTGTTTATGGGGTCATTCTGATAACCAAAATAACAATTTAAGATTGGTGATTCATAGCAATTTATCGAAAAAAATTAGATGATCAAGCACTTAGCGTAAGATTATCATACATAGATTGAATGACATTTCATCTAATTAGTTTGCAGTTTGCACTAATAATATAAAACAAAGACACATGGTTATTATGTATAGATAGACAACTCAGGCCCAAACTACCTACACTAAGGGACAATTTGGAACGTAAACTTATAAAACAAATCATCTTTTACATTTAAAAAAATGCACTTCTATTTCAAATTTTGTTTAAGTTAACCTACGTATGATAAATTACATTACCGGTGTCATTTATCAATCTAAGAGTAATGCACAGATCCACTCATCTGTCCTCTCAAGCTTATCAGTTCATAAGAAACACTAATAAAGTATTAATTCGCACGTTGTAATGCATACTGATGAAAATAAGTAAGAAGTGTGTGTATGTTTGAGTCTGAGTTTGACGAAGGAGAACACGATATTTGTTATTGAAACATACTTATATCATAACTTAAGGGATTTACTCAATTAAGTCATATTTCCCAAAACTTCAGCAACTTCAACACATTTAGCATATTCAGCCAATTTGTTTCTATTATTACTTGATTTACTTCTAGGAGTGGTGTTCGTCAAGGACCAAAAAAAATTGTCCAAGCATAAATGTTAAAAACATCTAAATAGTTTATTTTTCAATCAATAATCCAATATACTTGACAATGTAATTAATACTGAACACAATGACCTAGAGTTTTAGACATACCATGTATCATTATAGAACTGCTCTCTTGGATGTGGTAATGTTAGACCATGAGCTTTTCTTCCTTAGTGTGGAAGTATGCTTCAAAGGAGCCACATTCAAGATTTCAAGTGCATATGCTTCCATTAATCTTTTCACCACAAGAGTGGTTGCATCATTCATATTGACCTTACTCACAGGAGAATTAGTTAATCCTTTGGTTGAGGAATTAACTTTGCTTAAATGAAAACCACAGACGTGGATAGCCATCCTCTAAAGTTTGCTGACCCACCCTTTGCTTCATATATAATGTTGAACCTAAACAGTTTGCTTTCAATTAAAATTTCAAACTCATCTGTGGCGGAAACAATAGAACTGTCTGCGATGTTAATGGGCAGAAGATTTTCCATCTCCGTGGATAGCCATCCTCTAAAGTTTGTTGGTCCAGCCTTTGCTTTATTGATGTTGCTCCTAAGTGTCGGAAGTGCAGAAGTATCCAAAGACCAATTCTAAGGGAGTGTTTGCAACAGCTTCTGCTTTAAAAAAGCACTTTTGGAGTGATTTGGAAAAAGTGATTATTTGTAAAAGTTGATAGTGTTTGAGAAAAAAGTGATTTTGAAAAGTAAAAGTTGGTAGTGTTTGGTAAAATAAGTGCTTTTGGTGTATAAAAAGTGGAAAAGCACTTTTGACACGAAAGCCGAGAAAAATAAAAAATTGGTAGTGTTTGGTAAATAAGTGCTTTTTTAAGCCAAAAGCTGAGAAGTGCTTTTTTTAAAGTGGTTGCAAACCAGCCTTAAGGCCATCGGAAATTTGATTGCTGGAGCGGTTTGAATAGATCTAGTTCTTCGATTGGTTTCACAGCCACGAGTTTGAATAGAGCTACTCCCACGCCTGAAAATAGGCCTTCAGCGGCTAATCCTATTGATTTATCGGTGATATAAAATTTGGGAATGGAGAAGAGCGCGAGTGAAGAGATGGAGAAGGGAGCTGTTATTAAACTGAGAAGGCTTTCGTATAGCAACGACGTTTACACGATAACGGAAGGGTAATGACCGAAGGAACAACTCTAGAAGCATAGCATACAATTCCATATAGCTTAATGTTACACCAACACATTTTTTATACCCAAAGAACCCCTACCTTCATTGGCATTTATAAGATTTTAGATATATATATATATATATATAACACCCTAAGTAAATTTTGCGAAATCACCTCTTTACCCCAGGCCCAAGGCTTTAAAATTAATCAAGCTTCTCCCGGGCCAAGGCCTTTGTAAAAATAAAAACAATTTCTTTCTCCCTTGCCGCCATCCAAACCTAGCCCTCCGCGCCAGGCGCCGAGGCCGAGGGGCGGGTATATCGCCGGCTACACCACGACACCAAGTGCCTTAGCCATGAGGACATGAGAGGCTCATGCAAACCGTTCCCTTGAGAACGCACTCCAAATTCTCTTCTCTAAAAAAAACCGGGGGATCACTACCCCTCGGCCCCGGAAGGTACCAAGTACCTCCGACCATTTGTGTCCAACACACAAATTAAACCCTTCCCAGAAACGCTTTCCGCGTCATTCTCCAAGGGAGTGACAGGCAACAGACTATGTCCCGGGTACAGGATTCGACTTTCACAAACGAAACGCTTCCTGCGCTATCCCCATGCACACACACTAAGCGATTTCCAAAAATTGTTGTACTAAACTGATCCAATTAAAAACCTGGAGTCATTTGCCGTAAAAAAGGACTAATTAGTCGTGACTCATGAATACAATATTAATTAGTAGTGGTAATTTTCGAAATAGTTAAAATATGAGGAAAGTGTAACCAACTTGTATGATGTGAAGTAAAGAGTACACTATTTTTTTTATCTTTGAAAGTACACAAATTTGAATTTGTAGTACTAATTGAGTACACCTGTTAGATTAACACGTTAATACAACTGAGTTGACTAGCGGAATGTTGAGTAAGAAAGAGTAATGGACCAAGGTTATGATGACCTTCACGAAGTTGACCAAAAAAGGGGAAATCGACATTCAGAGGTCGACCCACGGGGGGCGTCGGCTAGTAGGGGTGCATCGACCAAGGAGAAGTCGACTTGCGGGGGGATTGACGTCGACCTAGAAGAAGTCGATGAAGTAGTTGGAGGTTGGCTCGACCTTCAAGAAATCGACCTATTAGCGTTCTGTTAGCCAACTCAGTCATATTAACGTGTTAATCTAACGGGTGTACTCATAAAAAATGTCTTTATTCATATCAAAAGATCCGGGATCATTACATCGGACAAGTGGAAAATAAAACTGACACCAACTGAACTCCAACAACTACGACTATAAACCCTATGATGAGACTTTGAGACGGTCACCCCTGAAAGAGCAACACGAATCGCTAACCATGTAGTGGGTTTGACACAGCCAAACCTATTCCCATAGATTCAATCATACCCAATGACATAACGAGAGGTTAAAAACTCAAACAAATTGTCAAAACCAACAACAAAGATGAACACAAGAAAACAAATGACAAGTCTTCAGTATTTTTCAGGCTTACTAAATCAACCGAGTCATGAAGATTGACTTAAATTTTGAATAAGACATTGCACGATCTCATTTCGAGTTGCAATGGATTCTTTATGCACAAGTCTTCATTACTTTTTGAGGCTTACTAAATCACGAATTCCTTCTCATACAATTTGATGACCCTTCCTCGTTAAAAAACAAGCCAGAGAAAGGGATAGGGAAGTTGTAGAAAGAAGCTCGAATTCCTTGGAGGCATCAGGCATGGCTGATAAACTGGCCCCTGAGAAACGTCACAGCTTCACCCACAACGGTACCCTTCCTGGTTCTCTCTCGCTCAGTGGACATGTATAATTATTATCCCCGTGATTGGCTCTAGGGTCTTATGATTGATTTTTCAGATCAGAAGGTCTTCGAATGGGACCAAACGCTTGAAGAGTTGAACATTTACATCAATCTCCCGGAAAATGTTCCTAAGAAGCTATTCTATTGCACCATAAAGTCCAAACATTTGGAAGTTGGGATTAAAGGCAACCCTCCTTACCTTAGCGTCAGTTCTCTGTCTTCTCTTTTTCTTTCTCAGCTGGTTTAAGCTCTAATTTATTGAGTATCCATATCACTAGACTTTTTATGTATGTTATGGGGTTTGCAGCATGATCTTTCCAATCATGTAAAGACCGATTGTTCATTCTGGACTTTAGGTAATGTTTCTATTAATTAGGAGAAAAAATACCTTCTTTTTAGCCTCTTTGCATTATTCAAGCCTGAAATGGTAGTGCAAAATAAAATAGGGAAATTTCCTGAAACAGGAGAAAAAACAATGTAAAATCGAAGATATGGGTTCTGTGTTTCCCCCCAACAGATGAGTAAATTACTATCATAGTGAAATAACACTGTCATATTTTGGCATTGCAGAGGCATAAATATGGCATTATTAATGACATAATCAGTAGTATTTTCAAATAATGATATTATTTATTAATTATTACTACCTTTCTCCCAATTTAAGGTCCCCATAGCAAAATGTTGCGATTATTTAGACTATAATTAAATAAGGTAATTCGAATATATTTTGAAAAATAGTTGTGATGGGTATATCATATAATGAAGTCATTGATGATTACTGTGATGTTATAAATGTATTATTTTTAATATTTGATGATTAAATTGTCATTTAATAGTACCAATTATTTTTCTTAAATAGAAATGATAACCTTTTTCTGGGATGTCCAAAAAAAGAGTGTGAGAACAGAGAACCTTAAGCTGGGACAGAGGGAATACTATTTAGGGGGGAAACACAATACTCCTATTTTTGAATTTCACATTGTTTTTAATTCTATAATCTATTTGGGGACATTTCTAAATAAACTATGTAATTTTTTTTGTTTTATTTAGTAAAAGATTTGGGCCATGTGAAGTCTCTTCTTTGTGAAGGTAATGGTCTTGCTAATAAAAATCAACAGTATTTGCTTGACGAATATATATTGCCTTTTCAGTGCATCAAAACTACAAAGTATTATGAAGCAGTATGTGTAAAAGCTTGTATTTTTTTTACTGATAAAGGTGTATCCTTGTTATCTAAATCATATCATTGAATGGAAATTGTTTGTGCAAGAAGAGAATGTTGTAGGGAAATCATGGGATAGCATGACAAACTGCAATTTATGCTTTAAATGTTTTTTAATTTCATGTAGCTGTAAAAACAAATGACATCTTGCAGAGGATGATATAATGCATGTAACCCTTCAGAAGAGGGATAAAGGACAGACATGGCCTTCTCCTATCATGGGTCAAGGTCAGTTGGATCCCTATGCCACAGATATCGAACAGAAGCGCCTCATGCTTCAAAGATTCCAAGAAGAGGTGCATACTCTAGACTTAATTTCTCTTCTGTGATTTCTTAGTTCCTATTTGTTTCTGGCCACATGAAGCTCCTGTTTTTTTTTTCAGAATCCCGGGTTTGATTTTTCACAAGCTCAGTTCAGTGGCAATTGCCCCGATCCCAAGACCTTCATGGGCGGGATCCGATCGACTTAATCTTGGTATATGATTACTTGATGATTCAATTTCATTTTGACCAAGATTGCCCCATTATCCCATAAATCATGGTTTACTACTTGTTGTCAAGCTAAAACTTGATTTTCCGTTGTATGTCACCATGACTTTTGAAATGGAATTGATTGAACCAAACCTAATTCATGTTATTAACTTAAATATGTCTTGTGATGGGTAAATTTAGTAAATTGTAGGCACTTGTGACCACTACTGATAAGTCATTTTTAGTGACCACTAAAGCTTGATGTGGCCATATCAATTTAAATTTAAACTTGAATTTTGCCAGCCGGATTAACTAGTGGGATCACCTGGAATGATACACACCTTCATTTTATCCAAGTTACCCCTCTAGTATGACAGCTATTGTCTGCTTGGTGCATTTAGCACTCCTGGTTTTCTGGAGACTAGAGATACAAGTTTTTCATCACATGCATTATAAGTTTAACCCATGTGATCAGCTGCACAAGTATGTTTGTTCATAATATAAATCCATTATAACACAATCAAACCTATTATGTATTTTCACTGTTTCGGCATATCAGTAGGAGTCTAGCTAGGGACTCAAAGCTGAACTTTTATCTCTGACTTGGTTGTTGTTTAAACTTCTAACTACCTGATGGACTTGAATATGGATGTTTTTAATGGGACTGAAATTTTCTGGTCTAGTATTGGTCTAGTAAATGTCTGGTTTATGTGTATTTTATATCTATTCAAGTCTGGTCTGGTCTGATCTGGTCAGGTTTGGTCTGATCTGGTATTCTGGTTAGGTCTAATCTGGTCTGGTCCGGTCCAGTCCGGGACTGAAAACAGTCCAAGTCAAAACATCCTATGTATGTATTAAATGCATACATTGATACATGATACATCATAAATGCTTAATTGAGATCAAAGTAATTTTTTGAGGCAAGCATAAACGCATCCAGTTTTGACTAATTCAACTTCAAATTGATCCTTGCTTGGTTGATTTTAAATGCTTTTCAAGCCTAATTAGTTTTAAGGGTGTTTGATGGAAATCCTGACTCTAATATTGAGGAAGTAGAAGATAAAGAGTAAACTTATAGACTAAATATAGGAATTTATAACCAATAAATCATAACTTATAAAGCTCTCCATAATAATTACGAAAATGCCACCGCGTATAAATTTTTTCCATGTTTCCGTAATATTTTTTGCGGTGGCACTTTCGTAATTATTTTCGAGGGGTCTATAAGTTATGATTTATTGGTTAAAAGTTCCTATATTTAGTCTATAAGTTTAACTTCGCAATTCTCAGCCTAAAAGCATTCCTCACCTGATCCGCTCCCTATATCCAACCCACAAAAAGGGTTGGATAATTTTTAAGTTTCAAAATGAAGAGGATAGATCAAAAGTACTTCTTGGGGGACCGTTCACCGTGTTTGGGAAACTCTTAATGCTCAAGGAACTTTCAGAAAACTTTTCGTTTGAAGATGAAGAATTTCTAAAAGTACCAATTTGGGTTAAGTTTCATGATTTACCAATGCAACTATGGAATGATGAGGCAATGAGTGAGGTGGCTTCCATGGTTGGGGTTCCTATAACCACGGATAAAATCACCCAAGAAAGGATTAACAACGACTATGCTAGAGTGTTGATAGAGGTCGACGTCTCGAAGCCACCACCACTCTCGTTTCCTATACGACTACCTTCCCAAAAGGTATTCAAGCAAAATGTGGTGTATGAAACTTTTCCGAGTTATTGCTTTCATTGCAAAGAATATGGGCATCACCCATTTATTTGTAAGAAGTTATCAAAATGTGGGAGTGGGGTAAACATAGAAAAGGAAAATTTTGATGTTGCAGGAAATAAAATTGATAAGGTTGATGCTGCTACTGCTCGGGCAGAAACTGCCCAGAGGACTGACCCGCCCGGGCTGCCTCTTTACCCGACCGGGTCACAGGGGAAATATACTGCACAGATCCAAAACCCGCCCGGGTCTTCCCAAAACCCGCCCGGGTTCCAGCGGCAAACTGCTCCTGCACCTTCTACAGCTTCTGCCGGGGGTACGCCTCGCGCTCCCAATGTTGTCCCGCCATCCAAAACTGTTGATAAGGTTTCCGAGGCCGGTTTGGAAGATGCCGATAGGGTTGTGATGCATGAAAAAGATTTGAAGTTAAATGACGTTGTCATCAAATGTGCGGTCATAAACGGTAAGGCACTCAAGCTAGATGTGAAACCATTTAAGTTCGTGCACGCGAGTGTGATTAGAGTGGATACCTCCCTTCGACTTACAGACGATTTGGATAGGAAAGGCCTTACTTTCACTGCCAAATGTCTCGAGGGGATGCCGGGAGTTACTAAGAAAAAAGGTGAGGTTTGTTTTGACTCAAAGTTCACTTCTCCTTTCCGAGCTTTCTTTGGACTTTAGATTAGGAACTCCTAATATTCTGTTGTAGTAGCTTGATTTTTTTGTGTGAACTTTACGTTTGATCCTACTGTTTCTGGGACCAAAATATTGATTTGGGAGGAGGGAATGTTTGATTTTGTGGTATCCTATATACTGGGATATGCACCTTGCTTGTAACATTGAATTGTTATTTTTTTTTCGATTTCTAATATACTTACATATTATCGAAAAAAAAAAAAAAAGTTATTTTATTTTATGTGTTTCTTTCTTGGTGATGTCTAGGTTTGTATATTTCTCATCGATGGGACTGATCAAGTGTTGAAATGTTGTTGTTAGTGGTTGAAAATAATTGCTTGTTTGATTTTTATGGGAAGTTAACTTCACACATCTCTTGAATCACCGCCATACTATCAGAGAACGATAGTGCTTCATTGAATTTTCTTTGCGGTGGTTGGTCAAATTGATGATATTGAGTATTTTTTCCTAGAAGCTGGTCAAATTGAGGACTGTTGTTTTTTGTGATTGGACAAATCAGATTTTCTATTATTTTCTTGTCGAATGACGGTGAAACCGATTTATATTATGTATTTTCTATCGCAAAGTAGTTTTGATTATTAGTTTAGTAAGATGAGCTTCTATGTTGATCGAACAATCTATACTTCTATGGAGTTGGTGAATTGTTGTCCTTTGGAATTATTTAGATCTATGTCTCATTGTCTCATCTTATTGTAGCTTTAATTATTTGAATTGCTTTAGAAAAATGGTTATAAAACTACTATTAAGCACAAATTCAAATAATGAACGAGAAATTATTTTGGGATGGAGATAGTGATACATTTCAAATTAACACAAATAAAACTTACTATCCGTTGTGAAGGTTAGGCATATATGTTGCCGTGGAGGGTTGAATTTTGGATCACCTCTGTTACTCTGTATAACATTTCATAATCGAATAGGAATTCCACTCCAAATCGAAAACATTTAGCATCGACCTAATTCTAGTTCTTCTATATTATGGGACACTATTAGACAAATTTTGTGAGTTTTTTCGGACCAAGAGTACTTTTCGTCACGTCTTCCCATTATCACTGCAACTATGGTACAATTGTCACATTAGTTATTACACATCATGCCAGCAATCCTATGTCATTCAATTTAAGTGTTTAAGTGTGTTTTAAAAATAAAATAAAATATGTAGTCTCCAAAGATCGAACCTTAGACTAGAACATGCTACTACCTCTCTTTTTTCGATATTTGAATGACATAGTTTGAACATCAAGATGAGATAGCTTTTACTAGGTATTTATTGTTCCATATATTACTTCTTTTACAAAAATTAAAAATAAAATAAAATAAGATGCTTAATTTGAGATATTCAATTAAGAAATAAGAACTTATTAACCTAATAAGAACTTATTTGAAATTATTTAACTAAAAATAATTTCAAATAACTCAAAACTAAAAAATCAAAAAATAAGTAAATTTCATTCTAGTCCCTAGCCCATATCAAATTAAAAAAAAATGTTAGTGTAATACGGAGTATATCGTAAAAGTTTTGATATACGAAAAACTCCTTATAGCGACTCAACTTGGACTTGGTACCGAGCACAATAATGCTAGTTGTATCCTGAACTTACAGAGATGTTACTCAAATATGTACCACGTGAAGAATCCAATGTAGGGATTGGACTCGGGCGTGGCCAACCGGCCCGGAACCGGACCGGCCCGCTACTGTGCGGGCCCGGACCGGCCCGGTGAACCGGTTAGTGCCCGGTTCGGGCCACCCGGCCCGGTGAGATAGCGGTCCGGGCCCAGGCCTGCTATTTAGTGAACCGGCCCGGCCGGGCCTCAACGGTCAGTTTTTTTTTTTTTAAATTGTTAAAGGCTCTATAGCCGTTGGGAGAGCTCCCAAACGGCTCTATAGCCGTTGGGAGCATAGGAGGGGGAGGGTCTGGGGGGATAGGGGGTGGGGTGGGGTGGGGGGTGGGGTATACAAAAAAACCTATTTATACTCCTATTTTCTATACATTTTTTACACCTCTTCTTCTACAACTCTTCCTACAGCTTAGTCATGGACCCGGCCCGGTTCCAGTTCCGGGCCGGGCCGGTTCCAGTTCCGGGCCGGGCCCGGCCGGGCTTTTTTTGGGGAAGGAAGGCCCGGGACCGGCCCGGGTAGCCACCGGGTCCGGTCCGGGTCCGGGCCTCCGGTTCGGTCATTTTTTTTTTGCTTTCCTAACCCCCCCCCCCACCCCCACCCCTCCTAACCATCAAGCCCAACCCGGGTAACCCCAAAAAATGAAAAAAAAAAATAAAAAAAAAATCAATTCGGCCCGGACCCGGGCCCGACCGGGCCGGTTCGCCAAATACAAGGCCCGAGCCCGGACCCGCCCCCCCACCGGGCCTAGGCCCGACCCGGACCCGAGAACCGGGCCGGTTCCGGGCCAGGCCGGTCCCGGGCCGGGCGGCCCGAACCGGGTCCATGACTATTCCTACTCTCTAATTCTCTATTCTCTCAATCTCTCATATTCAATCATCTTCATTCTTCATCTTCTCCAAATTCTTTCTACAGATACATAATTTATATAATTATTATATCTACTTATAAATATATGCTTATACACATTCATATTATAATTCCTTACACATTATATATACTATATATAGTTATACACATTCATATTTACTTGATATTTAGTTATTATCCATACTATTGTTATTTACTTATATTTACATAATACATTTAGTTAATATATACTTTTATATATATATATATATATATATATATATATATATATATATATATATATTAAAGTATTAAGTATAAGTGTATTACTCATCTTATAGTAATATACTTATATATTATATACTATAAACATTATATTATATATTACTTATAATATATTTACACATTATATATACTATATATACTTATACGCATTCATATTTATTTGATATTTAGTTTTTATCCATACTATTGTTGATATTTACTTATATTTACATATTACATTTAGTTAATATATACTTATATATATTAAAGTATTAAGTATAAGTGTATTACTCATCTTATAGTAATATACTTATATACGGAGTATTATATACTATAAACATTGTTGTTAGAACTTTTATTGTGAGTCAAGTTTGTCTGTAATGTCTTGTTTAATAAAGTAGACTAGTTATACCATTTATGGTATTAGATTAGTAATCATTTTGTAATAAATAGGTTAAAGGGAATAAGGCCCAAAAAGGCCTTGGCCCAAACCTCAAGGTTTACCTAAATCGGTAACCTGTACAGCGCCTATAAATATGCGCCTTGTGTACAGGTACCGATATCGATCAATACATTCTCTAGCCTTACGCTGCCCAAATAGTTCTCGATATAATAGAAGAAGAATTTCTCTGTTCTCGATATTGCCTTATCATTATCAGATCTTCCTTCTTTCTGTTTATCGTTGAAATCCATCTAGTAGATCGTTAGTCTGCATTTACTGGGACCAACGACTGGTATCAGAGCCTGCTCGAGTGTGATCACCGAAGAAAAAGTTTTCGAAGTCCCCTGTTTTCATCTTTTCGATATTGTACCTTTTTAATCGCTGTAATCTCATTTTTGAACGAAAAAGTGTAAAAGATGTACTGCTGAAATCGCCTCTCAAAAACGAGCAAGCAGTATATCTTAGATTTTCGATTTGTTTAAGTTTCATATTTGAGGTTCTCGATATTCTGATATCGAAAAGCAGGTTTCTCGAAGTTTCTGCAAGTTTTTCAATCTTCAAACTGCACAAAGAGGTTCTCGAGATCAAGGACTTTACAGAAAAGCTGTTTTATCTGTTTAAAATTGATTTTTGATCTGCAGGATTTCGACACTGACTTCTCGACATAAGTTTTCGAATTGAGTTCTCGAACTTCTGTTCTCGATACTCAGTTTTCGATATTAAAATCTCGATATCTTGTTTTCGCATTTGCAGGTTCTCGATACGGCTTATCGACATTCAGTTCTCGAACCTAAGTTTTCGAACTTAAAGTTCTCGATACTGACCTTTCGAAAGCTGCTTCTCGAACCTAGCTTCTCGATAGCAAGGTTTTCGATATCAAAATATCGAAAACTGCTTCTCGATAGAAGTTCTCGAACCCCCTTCTCGAACGTATTCCTGAAATTTAGGTTTTCGACATTCTACAGTTAAAAACTTAATTTTATCTGATCTAAACACTCGAACGGTCTTTTTTTCAAAATCAACAACTGCAAAGATGGATGCTTTATCACTCGGTAATGACAGTAGGCCCCCAATTCTGAGGAGAGGTGAATACCAGATGTGCAGAACAAGATTCTTAAATTTCCTTGAAAGTAAAGATAACTCTTCCGCTATGCTGGAATCCCTCACCCAAGGACCTGCTGAGATTTGGGCAAGTGTGAATGGCATTGATGCAAACAACCCACCTGTGAATCAAGAACGAAGATTGAAGACAAAGGCTGAGTACACTGAAGAGGATAGACAGAGAATCAAAGCGGATCTTATGGCAAAGACATTCCTGCTACAAGCAATCCCAAATGACATCTACATTCTGATTGATAGCATGGAGACTGCCAAAGAGATGTGGGATGAAGTAAAGAAGCTGATGATCGGAACTAATCTTGGACTGAAGACGAAGAAAGCAAACATCTTAACTGCTTATGATGCGTTCAAGGCTGCACCAGGGGAGGCGCTCCATGAAACGTATAACAGATTTGTGCAACTGATCAACGAGATGAGGAAGATCAAGGTTGTGAAATCAAACATGGAGATGAATATACGTTTCTTGTCGAGCCTGCCCCCTGAGTGGAAAAGAACTGTAAAAAACCTGAGACAACACCTGGACTTAGATGAACTGGATGTTTGTGCACTTCATGAGCATCTTCAGCAGTTTTTGAATGACACTGCTGAGATGGAAGGAAGCTTTTCTGCTAATCCTTTAGCACTCATGATTGAAGCTAAACCAAAGAGTTCATCTAAGGTCCAGAAGAAGAAGAAGGCAGTTAAGATGGAGTCAGAAGAAGAAGACAGTGAAGAAGAAGTGGATGTTGAATCTGAGTTGGCTGATCTGCAGAAAAAGATGGCTCTGCTCACCAATCAGTTCAACAAGAAATTTTCTAAGAAGGGAAACTCATCCAACAAACTGCGAACCTCCTCTGCCAATTACAAAACAAAGAACAATGATCAGAATTCTTCTAGTAGAGCTGTTGCAGCAGAAGATCCCC